GAGCCATTTAAAATTTGGAATTTAATTTGGCTCTAAAAAAAACGCATGAATATTTTTCAAAGTTTATGGCTTTATTGGAAAGGTAGTACATTGCCATTAAACATGAAATATAATTTCATTCAGATGACTTCCATGACTGGCTGCACAATATCCCATTCTATCAACCTAATTTTTCAGTTCCAATTTTTCAGTACATTTTCCACTGTGCGCTATGAGCGCGTATTTGATCGATGGCAACTTTGATTTCATTTTAATTCTTGAATCGTTTCTGGCTGGTTAGCGTAACACTCATCCTTGATGGTTCCCCATCAAAAATAGTCCAGCGGAGTCAAATCGCAGCTGCGAGGCGGCCAATTGACATCAGCATTTCGGCTGATTATGCGATTTTCGAAAACAGTGCGCAAAAGATCGACTGTAGCGTTAGCTATGTGGCAAGGTGCGCCGTCCTGTTGAAACCAAATGTCGTCTGTGTCCTCCTCTTCAAATTTGGGAAGCAAGAATTCGTTTAGCATGGTGCGGTAGCGCTCGCCATTGTGACGGCAGCTCCTTGCTCATTTTCGAAGAAAAATAGCCCAATGATGCCGCCGGACCAAAAAGTCACTCGTTGTGGATGCATCGGCTTCTTCATGACGACGTGCGGATTCTCTGACCCCCAAATACGACAATTCTGCTTATTCACATAGTCACCGAGGTGAAAATGAGCTTCGTCGGAAAAAATGATTTTTCGGTAAAAATGCTCATCTTCAACCAAGAGTTGTTCAGCCAATTGAGCGAACCGAAAACGCATCGGATGGTCATGCGGCTTCAATTCTTGCACTAATTGAACTTTGTACAGCTTCATACCGATGTCTTTATTCAAAATTCTTCTCAAAGAAATGCGTGAAATGTTTAAGTTTTGAGAACGATGGCGAGTTGATGTTGATAGTTGTTCAAGCACACTCTGAGCAACAGCAGCAATGTTTTCGATTGACCTTACTGGACGAGCACGTGAACGAGTTGCTTTATCCAATAAGGATCCTGTTTGCCAAATTCGCTTCACAGATTGATCCACAAACTGCGTTGAAGGCATTTCTTATCTACCAAATTTTCCACGTAAATTTCTTACAGTTTGGGTTGAAGATTCACCACTTTGGAAGTAAGTTTTCAATATTTCCCAATT